CGTGCAGTCTGATGATTCTAGAACTACCTTGAGTGTATGTTCTAGAATCCATCAAGATCAGGGAAAGCTACAAGGTAGAAGAAGATAACACGACGAGTAAGTTCATAGGAAAACTAATTCAATACACTTTCCAATTTTCCTTCGACATAACATGAAGTAGCCGGAATCGACTTCAACTTGTTGGATCAGCTCCTCGATGCCCGCCCGCCCTTCTGCGAGCAAAAGGGTTCGACGGAATGTGTACCCCAACGTAACGGTCGCTGCGGACCGATCGATCGATTGTCTGTTACCGGAGAATGAAACCGCTGCAGCATAAAGTCGAACGTTCCCGTCTTCTTCCGAGCGCGTTCGAAGCGCTTCGTCGGCCGCACCTGTCCAGTTTCTCGACCTACAGCCGCTCGGCCGAATCATACCGAACGAACGCTATGAGACCAGTCGGCCGTCCGCCCGTTCGTCCGTCCCTTTATGACATACCACTTCTACAACTCCCGCTCTCTTTGTATGTAGTCCTACTTGGAGCTCTATGAACGAAGGACATGTTATCTCGCGTCCAGACTCGGCCCCATCGGTCGTCTCTCGTCTCGTGTTCGAAAAAAGTAGTCGCCGCGCGGCTCCTCAGGTGCCTCTTGGCGTCCCGATCCACACATCTGTCCAGCACTTTGGAGCTCGTCCCGTCGCAGTGGCTAACCGACTGTGGTGGACGCGCAGCCCGAACGCCGAGCGAGGAAGCCGCGTGTACCCCTTCGAGCAGACGACGACGACGACGACGACCGTGCGGCTGTCGTGTTAACTGCCAGTGCTGCACATACCGCTCGATCGATACATTTGCTAGTGACACGGCCGCATAGGATTTGCTACACGAGAAAACGTCACCGGCCTCTTCCGTTCCTCCCCTCCCTTTGCCCGCCGATCCCGAGTCAGTGTAGCAGCAGCGGTACGACGGAGTAGTAGTAGCAGTTGTACACGGCAAAGCAGAGACCGATCCAGACATACATAGCGTCATGACGACTCGAGAGGCAGCCGTTCGAAGCTCGCACAAGCTCACACTACCGCTAAGTAGCGCGCAGTTCGACATGGGGGTGACTTTGGGCACCGGATCCTTCGGTCGTGTTCGCTTTGCGACGCATACAGTAAGTGACCCTGAGGTAGTGAGTGACACGTTCTTTTTTTGACAGGTTCGTTCGAGCGACTAACTTGTCATGCGAACGTCTGATGTTCGGGCTCTGTCTAGGGCACCAACACGTACTGCGCGATCAAGATCCTCAAGAAGGCTGAGATCATTCGACTGCAGCAAGTCGAGCACATGCTGTCGGAAAAGGCGATCCTGCAATGTTTGGACCACCCGTTCATCGTGAACTTGGTCGGCACGTACCAAGATACGAGGTACTTGTACATGGTGCTCGAGTACGTGGTCGGCGGCGAGTTTTTCACGCACCTCCGGAAAGTCGGACGCTTTGACAACAACGCAGCCAAGTTTTACGCCGCACAGGTCGTGTCGGTCTTCGAGTACATGCACAGTCAGGATTTCATCTACCGCGACTTGAAGCCCGAGAACTTGCTGCTCGACAACCAGGGCTACATCAAGATCACAGACTTTGGCTTTGCTAAGAGAGTGACGTTCAAGACGTACACGCTCTGCGGAACACCCGAGTACATTGCACCAGAAGTGCTGCTGAACAAAGGACACGGCAAAGGTGTGGACTGGTGGACGTTGGGGATCTTGCTCTACGAGATGCTTGCAGGTCAGCCGCCGTTCTACGACGAGGACCCGATGGGTATTTACCAGCAGATTCTGTCCGGCAAGATCAACTTCCCGCGTTTCTTCGATCGCAACGCCAAGGGACTTATCAAGCGGATGCTTACAGCCGATCTCACAAAACGATACGGATGTCTGCGGAATGGCGCCGACGACATCAAGAAGCACAAGTTCTTTGCTGGTGTGAATTGGGAGGACCTGTTAGCACGAAGGTGTGCAGCCCCAATTATACCTCGTGTCGGCTCAGCTAGCGATACATCCAATTTTGAATCGTACCCGGAATCTACGGAGGATGCGATGGTTCCCGTTTACAACGGCGGGGATCCGTTTGTCGACTTTTAAACGATGTCACCGCCAGCAGCACGAGCTGCAGTTGAGATTACGAGAATCTGACAAGGACGTCATGTTGTTTTCGGTCGTGGCGCAGCAACTAGTCCTGGTGCAAGTTTCGTACATGGTAGAAGGGGCCAGAGGAAAACGAGGAGAACGAGGTGCAGGGCGCACGCAAAGAAACGGGTTCATGTGTTCCTATTTATCACAAAAGTGTGGCATAAGCGACTATAGCAGCAACCAATCCGACACTCATGTGCAGACTGGTCAATCTCATTGTCTATTTGCCGGTTGGTAAACGTCACCTCCTCACTTCATCCTTTGCTTGTAGCATTTATTCCGCTTGCGCTAGTCTGTGCCACTCAGTAAGACTTGTCACTTTCTGCTACTCGCGAATCTCATGGCAGAAAACAACGGGTACACGTGGCCATGTTGCATCGAAGTATCCACTAGCTGCCCATCGTTGCACAGTCTACTCACAATCTGGAGTGGGGGAACAGCACCTTGTCGCTAGGAAAGCAGTGATACGTGGTACCACTGTTCATGATACACTGCACGCGACCGGCATTATCAGGCTCTCGCAGGCCAGCAACAAAGGCGTCCACGATGACTTGGACCGGCAAGAGACCGCCCATGATACTGGTGTACTCTGGGACCGTCTCTTCAGCGTTGCGGCCCATGTCCGTATCGGCGAATCCCGGGCACATACAAAAGCAGCGAATGTTGTCCGACTTCTGGAGCGTATACAGCGACCGCGTCAAGCCCACGACGCCATGTTTGGCTGCAGCATAGTCCGGTCCAAACGGCACAGGAATGAGCCCAGCCATGCTGGCAACATTGACGACGACACCTTCTTTACCATTGAGTGTGCGCTTGAACTCCGCGATCGCGCACCTGGTGCCCCGAATCGGTGCGATCAGATCAATGTCGACGACAGTCTCCCAGTACGTGCTCTCGTGCTCGTAGAACGACATGGCGCTGCCAATTCCAGCATTGTTCACCAGCACGTTCACAGGCTCGTGGAAGTACTCGCTGGCGTAGGCAAACGCCTGCGAGAAGCTGTCCTTCTCCGTGACGTCCTGGAAGCGCCAGCACACGTTCTTCTCGCCGTATTGGGCCTGTAGGGCCTCGCCCGTCGCTCGCAGTTCCTGGACGTCGACGTCCGTGATCAAGACTTTGCCACGTGCAGCCAGGATCTTGTCGGCAAAGGCGCGGCCAAAGCCCCGCGCGCCGCCAGTCACAATGGCCACAGCGTCTTGAAGTTCCATTGCAGGTGGTGTGCTTGCAACGCTTTAAATTCCTCTGCGTTGGCTTGATCTGGGCTGAAGCGTTTGACAAATGAGCGCCACGTGGAGAGAGAGCAAGAGAGAGAGAGTTGTGTGGGTATCCACAACGACGTCGAAGAGGCAACTAGACGGAGCGTCCTCTGCTGGTGGTTTGTGACGGAACGTCCTCTGCTGGTGCTGTCTGTCTCCTGTGTGCGTGGTCGGCCTCCTGCTCGCACTCGCGTCGGTTTGTTTACGCGCGTGACGGACTATGTCTCACGTACTATCCCGTCGCGCTAAGGATTTGTCTCAACTGTTGCGCTAAATAATATCAGATCGTCTATTAGAGAGGTCAGGTCGTCTATTAGAGAGGTCAGGTCGTCTATTAGAGAGGTCAGATCGTCTATTGTGAGGTCAGATCGTCTATTAGAGCTACTTATCACTCGTAAGAAGTCTGTTGTCACTTCCCAATTTGCGCCTTCGGGCAACAGGGCCAAGCGACGACGACCTCCAATGAGCCGTTGTACCGGTCCTCTTGTCCTGGGCGGGAAGTCCCCCGCTGGGTGGCTCAGATCATGAAGAGGAGGTTTTCTTCCCCCCGCGTGCGCCACGGGGAGGCAGCGTAGCGTGTAAACCGAAAGGAGAGCAACAACCCAGAGACCCCGGGGTGTGGGGCAAGGCGACAGCGGTTGTCACCCCCACCTAGTTCCTGCTATTCTACGCCAGCTTCCAAGTCGCCGGTCCGGTCGCCGAGCGCGAATCTCGGTCCCACGAAGCGAATTTGCCTGGAACGTAATTCTGATCGGTACCGTCCAGGTACACCAGCGGCCTATCGGGGGTGATCGGTTTGGTACCCGGCGTTTTCTGCGATTTTCGCTCCCTGTCTGCCCCTCAGGACTGGATACCCGTTTCCACGTGCCCTCTGTTGAGCGTCCCCCGTGATGCCCGCAGTATCGAGCCAAGAAGACTGAGCCAGCGAGGAGGAGTATGATGTAGTCCAGGTAGAAGCACACCGATATCGTAGAGTCATAAGCACGTAATCGACGTTCAGGTTCACTCACTCGTAAGATGTCTGTTGTGTGGAAACCACCTCGGTCATCTACCATGACACGAACTTTCTCCTACCACGTTCCTCATTGTGCTGGCTCGATGCTCCAGACATCACGGGGGGACACATTCGAAAGGCCACATGATAATGACTGTTGACCAAGTCCGGGTTAGAACGTTGTGCGCACTCTTGGCCGGATGGCTGGGCTGCGCGTCGCTTCGCGCTCATCTGCTTCAGGGGACAGAGGACGCATGGTTAGGAGGCCTGTTCCACTTAAGAAGTCCTAGCGTGCCATGTTGATGCAATCCCTGGCCGCTTCCGTGGTGACCGACTTGCTCTGCTCTTCGGGCCGATCCCATTGCACAATCTAATGCAGACGTGCCCAGGTCCACCACGAGACGAAGAGTATCTTGGCCTGTTTCTTACTCTACATAAACGACCGATACTGGATCTCAACAGGTCACCACGTTCTTAGGAGAGTTCACTTCGTGGGAGTGGGTATCGCGCGCAGCGAACGAGTCGGCGCGAGGGGAGGCACTCCGTGAAGAGCAGGAACTAACGAAGGCACGGGGATGCCGATCTCTGTCGGCCTTCCCCACGCCGCAGGATGCCGGGGAATTGCTTCCCTCTCGGGTCGCACGCTGCGATGCCTCCCGTAGCACACGCAGCGGAGAAAAGGCCTCCCCCCTTTAACCTTGGCCCCACTACGGGGGACTTCCCGTCCAAGGTAAGGGGGCCAGATGACTAGCTCTTAGGAGGTCTTCGCCTCTGTCCGTAGTTGCTCAATGAGCGCAAATTGGGAAGTGTTGCGCCAAATAATGTAGTACTCGCACTAGTACTCGAGTGGGAGAAGTAAATTGTACACCATCTGTAACCTGTAGCAATTTTCGGTCTCCGTCACTCAGCTACTCCTCACCCCATACTTCTCATGACACAATCTAAGACTATAGGAGGCTTGAGCACAATACTAGCGTCATTTCTAGTCTCGGATTTTGACTTGACAATTTTTCCGCGAAGTTATAGAGCCCTAAAGTTCGGAGAATTTTGGAAATTATGGCTCGCGGCGAGCTACAGTTGGCCGCCCCAAAACTCCCCGCGTAGACCTATTTTCTCGATTTTTTGAGATTTTTCCCATAGAGCCCTGTATAAAATAGACGAATGAGCGTAAAAGAATCATTCATGCAGACTCAAAAGTGCAAAAATGGCTGCTTCACCCAATGCGGCATTGTTATGCCTGTTTATTTCCTCTTTTTACTACGAAAGGACACAGACAATCATCCAAATCTATTGCAAAACACGATTAGTGGCAGCAGCTAAACGTTCACATCCGTTAAAATTGAATTGGTACCTTACGATGCGACTGATACTTCTTTACGGCGTATTTGGCGGCCTTCCTGGTCAGGATCATGCGGCATACGTCCATGTACCGAAAGCACTTTCGAGCATGACGGCGGATAGTGGTAAGAGAGACGAATGCAATGGATTTTAGGACCATGTGCTCGAGTTTTTTTCGAGCATGGCATTTCATTCTCCCCTGAACAATTCGATGACGGTCAGTTTGCACAGGAATCTAGGGTAACGTGATGTGGTTGCCGGCCGCAGTGATAGTCTCTTCCCGAAGCCCGTTTTTGGCTCTTAAAATCACATTACTTTTGGATGACACTAGCGGCGCAGGAACTGCCCTCATAATCTGCAAGTGCCGTAACCGTTTGTTGGGGCGCGGCATGTTGGTAATTATCGACTAATAATTATTTTGATATGAATATCAAACGTGCAAATGACGTGCATATTGTGTGCAGTGCGACCGGAGCGTTGAAATAGGCGATTTCGGTTGCGGAAACGGCAAAAAATATAATTTTATTCTTTTCTATTTTTGGCCGCCGAAAAAAAAGGTACATGCTAGAGGTGATACGCCCTGTATTCGTAGTAGTAGTAGTAGTAGTAGTAGTAGTAGTAGTCGTAGTAGTAGTAGTAGTTGTAGTAGTAGTAGTAGTAGTAGTAGTAGTAGTCGTAGTAGTAGTAGTAGTTGTAGTAGTAGTCGTAGTCGTTGTAGTAGTAGTAGTAGTAGTAGTAGTAGTAGTAGTAGTAGTAGTAGTAGTAGAAGTAGTAGTAGTAGAAGTAGTAGTAGTAGTAGTAGTAGTCGTAGTAGTAGTAGTAGAAGTAGTAGTAGTAGTAGTAGTAGTAGTAGTAGTAGTAGTAGTAGTAGTCCGCTGTGGTGACGTGAAGGGGTACGTTTTCATGTCGACGCTGAGTCGCGTTTCGCGTTCGAGAGTGTACCACACAAATTTAGTGGTCAGCCACGTATCTTTCCAGCAAACTGCGAGCCGATCATGGCCCTCATGTGGGTACTGGCTATGCTGCTGGTGCTGGCAGGCGCTAGCTACACGTACCTCCAGCACCGCGAAGAGGCCCAGCGTCAAGCCGTTAAGCTCCAGAAGAAGAAGGAGGAGACGGCTCGTCAACAGCTCCACGCGCTGAGCAGCAAGAGACACAAGAGCAACAAGACCAAAAAGAAGGTGGACGTGACGGCAGAGCTCAAAAAGAAAGCGCAAGCCGCAGACGCGCACGAAGCACAGACTGAGCACGAGAGGCTTCTGTACGCTCTCAAGGGCCATAAGTTTGTCCTCACCGCTGCCGCCTATAGTCCGAATGGTCGCTTTCTAGCCACAGCCAGCTCCGATCGCTCCATCCGCCTCTACTTTTGCGATACGCTCAAGAAACAGCAGCCCAAGCTGCACCAGATTAACATTGAGTACGACCACGCTACTGCGCTTTGCTTTAGCCCGGACGGACGCAGTCTGGTGAGCGATGTTATCATGACCATTATTGTTATTGCTATTGTTGTTAGTGTTGCTATTGTTATAGTTGCAATTGATGTTGTGGTTGACATGCTGATGGTTGACAACTGACACTGATTTTTTGCGTTATGAAAGGTGGTTGCAACAGAAAGTGGCAATGTGAAAGTCTACCGTACGCTACTGTGACGCTGCTACAAGTCTATGAAGAGGCGTGTGCGTTAATCATGCTGGCATGACGGGCAGCTAACGTGATGTCTGTGCATATATGGTGGCAGAAAAGCTGCGTGTCAAGCCAGAGATTGTCGCCGATTTTCCTACTTTGCACAAGACAGACGTTCACTCGGTGCTCATGAACGACATCGGCAGCGTAAGCTGGCGCCATTTGTGCTGGATTTACACGTGAGAGCCAGTCATACGTACGATCTCGTGCTCAAAGAATCTTTTGTGTCTCGTTCTGGGCAGTGGGCAACGATCATTACATGCGCGGGTGACTCTGATACGGATGTCAAGTTCTGGAATCTCAGTGGTGAGCTGCTACAGACGGTGAACACGAATCAGGTTGCCAACTACCATTGCGTCGCTTCGAAGGACAACCGGTACATTGCCGTTGCAGCATACACGCCGGAAGTCAAGATTTACGAAATAGCACGCGAGAAGTCGGGTGCCTTCCGAAAAGTCAACAAGATCATGACGCTGCAAGGGCACAGAGTACGACAAAAAATAGAGAAGGCTGAAGTTGATCGTATCTAACGCTTGTGCATTCGCTGTAGACGGGCGTGGTCGACATTGCATTCGATGGGTCCGACGCGTCACCAGTGAACCGCGTGGTCACGATCTCCAAGGACGCATCAGTTCGTCTATGGGACATCAATGGTGCGTCTCGTTGTTTTCACACTTGCGGAGTTGAGGTGTAGCGTAACCTGATCGTATTCGTGGTGGGCTTTCGCACAGTTCGGTACACTCTCCAAGAGGATCCTAAGGTACTGTCGGCATTTACTGCCAGCGGGGAGAAGCCGTTCCAGGCAGTTGATTTTGCGCCCAACGGAAAGGTATGTAGCATACTTTCGGATGCATGTGCCGCCCTTCTAAAACGATGTCCACTCGTTTGTCTGCTGCTTGATCCCGCAGATGTTGGTCATGGTGCGTGGTAAGGACCTTGTGTTCGTACGTGCGAGTGACAGCAACGAGTTCTGCGCCATCCCAAACGCGATTGAAGATTCCATAAAGCGCGCCATGTTCTCACCAGATGGATCGGAGGTGCTTGTGCTTGGGAAGAGTTGCAAGCATGCCAAAGTGTACAAAGCACCAGAGCTGTGAAGAACGAGGGACTCATCGGCACGTGCAATCAAGTAACAATAGATCTTCGTGTTGACAAGTTTCGGTGATGCCGCTTTACTTGCGTGCGCTGACGAATCATTATGCGCCCGCGCGTTGATCGCATCGAGCTTTTGCAAGAATGTCCAGCAGTTTCCACTTGAGCATGTTGATGTTCTCCGTGAGAATGTACTTATCGGACTGGCGAGCAGCTACAGCCATCCACAAGTGGTTTCGCCTGTCGCTCTGCGCGTCGTCGCCCTGCGTGGTCAGGTCCTTTTCCCAGGACTCAAGCAACCTGTCATCTTCTTCAATCGAGGTCGGGAAAGCCTCCAGCATTTTCTCCAGGGTATAGACTAGACGCGTCAATGCTTCCTGCTCGTTCGCCAAGCTCACCATCTCTCCATCGAGTGCCTTCTGCGCAAGTACCTCGAACTCCTCGGGTGTGTCGCAATCAATCTCCTGGATCCGAGCAGCAATCAAGAGCAAGTCATTGCTCTCTTCTGCCACAAGCTCAAACGTGTTGGTGGCGTGGTCGAGCCCGTTGGCGAGCAGCAGTTGCTCCTTCGCCTCGAAAAACTTGGTCGATGGTCTGTGCATGGGCAGCCACATCTCTACAGCATCGAACGGGTTCCCCAGGATCACGAAACCGTACAGCGACAGCAGCTTGTGGTTTGACAAAGGCCCGTAGTTGATGAACATCTGCGCGCCAGCATTCCAGTGCTGGTGACTCACGAGCTTGAACCGCTGACTCGCCACGTCAAAGACGTGGGACATCTCTGCTTCCGGGTCGTGGTTCAGCATGTCGAACACGGGGACCATCGCCTTGAACGTCTGTGTGGTCATCAACTTGCTGCCGTCTTCCTTATTCCCCATTGATATGGTATCAATCCCTGACAATCCATCATGATCTTCCACCAAAACTGAAGCTGCGTCCAGTCGTAGCGACACGAAGCGACTCCAGATCGTCGAGAGCGCCCACTTGTAATTGTCAAGAGAGAACCACTCGTGGAACACGTCAGTGTCACAGTTTATCGCTTCAGCAATGCTGTCATATAGATCCGGTAGAACGGATTCCTTCAGTCGCCTGTAATCGTGAACGACCTGCACTTTGAGCTGCTGGGCAAACCCACTCAAGTTGCTGCCTTCCAGTGCCTCGAGATCTTCCGGTTCAAAGTACAGCGCATTGTAATACGTCTCGGGCAGCAGCTCAATGTGTTTCGCCCACTTGGACCTTGTGCCGCAAACAAACTTCTCGTACAGCAGCGCCACAGCCAATTGGTCGTCTTCTCGCTCGGGGACGAGCTGCTGGAAGAACGCAATGCGTTTGAACACCCCCAACGTCTGCAGACTCCGCACCGTTAGCGTCGAGTCGAGCGGGATGCTCAGTACCTCTGTATGGGGCGTCACGTCCTCAGCAATGTACACGCCGCGCTCGGCCGCACACGCGTCTTCTTGGTACTCGTACACAAAGTCCGTCGCGATGTCCACCTCGAGCGTCTGCGTCGCCCACTCGTTGTAGCCAACAAACTCGTCGCCGCGCGTCGCTTCGCCCGCAGACGTCGCACCTGCTCGAGCCATTGTCGGTTGGTTTCAAGTCTGCTCGTCGGCTGCCTCGTCACTTGTGGCCGGTCGTTTCGCCTGTGGCGGGCGCAGGCGGGTACACTACCGGCAGCTGCACGCGTCAGCCACCGTCTGGATCGGCTGTCGGCGATGGGGAAAAGACTGTCGGCAGACTGAGCACAGCTTCGTCGACAGTGCTGTGTGGAAGCGGTGTGGACTGCGAGCGTCAGGTCAGCTCCGCCGTTGCCGACAGCAGTCGAACAGCAGGTACTCGTGACCTGACCCTGTGTGGGTTTGCGCTGCAGCAAGTCAGCTCCTCCATAGCGCCCCCGAGATTGCTGATGCTGCCTGTCAATGCTCTATCGACGCTATTGCGCAGAGTTGGCAGCGATACATCCAATTTTGAATCGTACCCGGAATCTACGGAGGATGCGATGGTTCCCGTTTCCACCGGCGGGGATCCGTTTGTCGACTTTTAAACGATGTCACCGCCAGCAGCACGAGCTGTAGTTGAGATTACGAGAATCTGACAAGGACGTCATGTTGTTTTCGGTCGTGGCGCAGCAACTAGTCCTGGTGCAAGTTTCGTACATGGTAGAATAGGCCAGAGGAAAACGAGGAGAACGAGGTGCAGGGCGCACGCAAAGAAACGGGGTCATGTGTTCCTATTTATCACAAAAGTGTGGCATAAGCGACTATAGCAGCAACCAATCCGACACTCATGTGCAGACTGGTCAATCTCATTGTCTATTTGCCGGTTGGTAAACGTCACCTCCTCACTTCATCCTTTGCTTGTAGCATTTATTCCGCTTGCGCTAGTCTGTGCCACTCAGTAAGACTTGTCATTTTCTGCTACTCGCGAATCTCATGGCAGAAAACAACGGGTACACGTGGCCATGTTGCATCGAAGTATCCACTAGCTGCCCATCGTTGCACAGTCTACTCACAATCTGGAGTGGGGGACAGTACCTTGTCGGTAGGAAAGGAGTGATACATGATACCATCGTGCATGATACACTGCACGCGACCGGCATTATCAGGCTCTCGCAGGCCAGCAACAAAGGCGTCCACGATGACTTGGACCGGCAAGAGACCGCCCATGATACTGGTGTACTCTGGGACCGTCTCTTCAGCGTTGCGGCCCATGTCCGTATCGGCGAATCCCGGGCACATACAAAAGCAGCGAATGTTGTCCGACTTCTGGAGCGTATACAGCGACCGCGTCAAGCCCACGACGCCATGTTTGGCTGCAGCATAGTCCGGTCCAAACGGCACATGGACGAGCCCAGCCATGCTGGCAACATTGACGACGACACCTTCTTTACCATTGAGTGTGCGCTTGAACTCCGCGATCGCGCACCTGGTGCCCCGAATCGGTGCGATCAGATCAATGTCGACGACAGTCTCCCAGTACGTGCTCTCGTGCTCGTAGAACGACATGGCGCTGAAAACTCCAGCATTGTTCACCAGCACGTTCACAGGCTCGTGGAAGTACTCGCTGGCGTAGGCAAACGCCTGCGAGAAGCTGTCCTTCTCCGTGACGTCCTGGAAGCGCCAGCACACGTTCTTCTCGCCGTATTGGGCCTGCAGGGCCTCGCCCGTCGCTCGCAGTTCCTGGACGTCGACGTCCGTGATCAAGACTTTGCCACGTGCAGCCAGGATCTTGTCGGCAAAGGCGCGGCCAAAGCCCCGCGCGCCGCCAGTCACAATGGCCACAGCGTCTTGAAGTTCCATTGCCGGTGGTGTGCTTGCAACGCTTTAAATTCCTCTGCGTTGGCTCGATCTGGACTGAAGCGTTTGACAAATGAGCGCCACGTGGAGAGAGAGCGAGAGAGCGATTGTGTGAGTATTATCCACAACGACGTCGACGAGCTGACTGATTATGTATCTGTCCCATTGCGCCGCGTGGCGGAGCTCGAGCACGAAGAGGAGCGCGTCCGCTCTTTGCGCAACGCGAAGAGAAACTGGTTGGAACGGCAGGTGCGACGGGTTGCGGCCGGCAGTCATTGCGGCAAGTGCGGTGGAACGTCCACTGTTGGTGCTGTCTTTCTCCCGAGTGGTCGGCCTCGTGCTCCCACTCGCGTCGGTTTGTTTACGCGCGTGACGTGCTGTGGCCAACGAGAGAGAGTGAGAGATTTCATGACTGTCTATTAACACGTGATTATGTACAAGATGTCTGAAAGCTCCTGAGCCAGGAAATCAAGTCCGGATCCGAAAGAGTTTCGTGACTATGACCCAGAGAAGCCCCGATGTCTCGTGGTGCTTGGGTAAAAAGTTCGATGCTGGCGTGCAAGAGAGCCCCTTGCACGACAGTACTAATACCGCGATGTTCGCGTTTGGCCAGCGCTAGGAGTTGGCGTATCCCTGACTCCCAAAAACGGGTAACACTATGCAATGTCGTGGTCAGGACTCCCCTGAATACCGCATCGTTTCGCTCCTGCCATAAGTGGGTGAGGCACATGGTACTCATAAGAAACCAAATCCGTTTCCAGACGTGGACTCCTGCCTCGACGTCTTCCATGTACCGTTTAAGCAACCGTTGTCTCAACCGTGGTGAGATAGCTGGGGCTTGACGATTGGCACTGCCAAGATATTGGCGAGTGCCAAATCGGTCTGCCGCAGTTTCACCGGTCCAATGACCAATTAATTTTGCCCAACACGAACGCGCCTTCGGGCAATCCCAGAATATGTGGGCCTGTGTTTCTTAAACCCCTCGACATGCTTGATGTACGCGACAACTATTGTCGTCGTCGCGATTTTCATGGTAAAGGTTGAGTTGCATGGTTGCTATACGATAGCAAGTCCACACCTGATATTCTGTGAGCCCATGTGCATGGTCCCAAACTTGAGAAGGTCGCTGGTGCGCTACAGCTCGCTGCCATGCGTCCGTTCTGGTGGCAGCTTCCAGACGCTGCAGCATTGGACGTAATGCCACAGCTAGCTGACGTTTGTGAAGCTTAAATGACAGACGGGAGAGTGTTGTGCGAAAGGATGCATTTGGCACTTCATCTGCGACCGCCCATGGAAACCGATGATGTCGAGGATGAGCGTCAAACACTACGCCGTGCTGCTGAAGTTGTTCAAGCCATGTTGCCCTTTCCACTTCACTATCCGTCGCTAGTTCAGGAAGCCTTGTTGTAAAGAACCAGCGAAACCCGTCGGCCGCCTGCGTCAGGTGAACCTTAGCTGCCTCTGGGACTTTGTGACCCCTTCTCACTCCAGATATACGACCCCGGCATTCGGAGGACCAGTCATAGTCATACCGAAAAGGAGGAGCGTGCCGGAGTGTCAACCGAGGCTGGAGCGCTAAATCAGTTCCGATCCGAAAAGGTGGGGATGCCAGTAATATCGCTGTTGCCCATCGTCGTAGCTTGGGGTGCGAATGATCGGTGACGTGCTGTCCGGACAGTGGTATGCTGAAAACAAACTCGGACGGCCCCGTCCGTCTAATACGCAAATCCGAGATGGTGCATGGTACGATCCGGTCATACGTATAGCCGAGCAACTGCCTGCCCCGTGCATCCCGGATATATGGATTCTTGCTCCATCCAAGCGTCCCCCAGAATTGATGAATAGAACTCAAGTGGGGATCCGTGTGTGATAATGCTTCAGGGAAGGTCGAGTAATAAGACAGAACCCATTCATCCTCTTCCCACCAGCTTCATGCACCGGCGAGTAGAGTTGGTGTGTACGCACGTACCCGGTCTCCAAACAGGCTTAATTGGTCGTCTGTAGGCTCCAGGAGCTTGTCGATGTCCGCTATGAATGAAGTTTTGGCCGGCTTTGACAAAGAGGTTGACCACCCCCCTGACCGCGGCCGTTCGTGCAAAACAAGTGCTGAAGTAGTCGGCTGACCCTGATAAGCCCAAAAACACCACGCTCCAAAATACTTGTCGTGAGCTTGCGTGAGCCACCGGAGAGCGTGTTTAGTGCGCTGTGTCTTAATAGCAACCTCGACCGAGACGAGCCCTACTCCCCCGGCCTTAGTCGGATAAAGAGGAGACCCGGATTGATCTTGTGACGACCCGCTTCTGTGGTGGTTGCGTGTGCCCACAGAAATTGTTTATACATATTTTGTACGTCCCTGATCGCCCAGTCAGGAATTTCGAAAACCGCAGCCGTGAACAGGATTGCTGGTAGGATAATGGAATTTAAGACCATCACTCGATTTTCCACGCTTGAAGCAATGGTGGAAGCCGTGAACAATCGCCGATGAAGCCTTCCTGATGCGAAGCGCCCAATTACGATGTTGTAGGTCGCCTGTTCCTACTTCATAGCCCAAGTACCGCACTGTATCCACAGGTTGAAGTACTGATATGCCACAGAACGTCTGTAAGCGCACCCCTTTGTTGAGAAATATCAGCTTGCTCTTGGCCGGCTGGACGATATCTGTTTACGTAAGCGATGTCATCATCATAAAAATCAGGCAAAGAAATCAGTCAGAAATCAGCAGGCTTAGAGTAGCACATAGTGGTGAACTAAGGACCTAATGAACTTACTTTTGATTTACTAACTTGGACACTACATCTGGTAGCACTTGTTGGTCCAGCGAACTATCCTCTGACCCGACCTGAACTCCCCCGATTTTACTCCGACCTCGCCTGACTAAATCTTAACCTCGCGACCCGACTCCGAACAACGAACTCCGTGCCTGAACTTGCTCCTGACACAGACTGATTAAGTGACCCAAGTGCACCGAGCGCAAAGCCATGGGCGAGCCTTCCAAACGCGGAGCTCATGCAAAGCATGCTTGCCATGATAGCGCAGCAGCAAGATATGATGCGTAAAATGGCCGAAGCGACGACGCTCAAGGATCTTCGACTTGACGCAGTGAAGGCGCCTCGCTACAGTGGCCAAATGCAAGAGTCCTTTGCATTGTTCAAAGAACAGGTTCAACAGTATTTTGAAGTGAGACGAGTGGAGTGAAGAGTGCGACAATGGCCGCCACGATTATACCGACTATCGGGAGCATGCTTACAGGCACAGCTGCCGATTGGTATGTCTGGTCTCGCAGCAGAATAAACACTGTCGATGAATTATTTTTCCACATTGAGCAAGAATTTGTACCTGCAGACTTGCAGATCCGGTTTCGGGACCAACTGCGGAATCTCAATCAAGCGCAGTGTCGAGATCTTGGCGACTTTGTAAATCGCTTTCGACAACTGATGATTCAAGCGGCGTAACATGAGTGATGTCGACTGCCGTCTTGTACTTCACGCAAGGCCTGAAGCATCAGACCCGTGTTGAAGTGGAATACGCCGTTGTCCGCCTCTAAGTCAGGCAATTAACGCTGCTTACGACTTTGAGCGTTCACATTTTGGCGTGGGGAGTTCAAGGCGTACTCAACAATTTCGTCGACCAGAAAGACCTACTCATCAGCGCTTTGACGATCCTCAACCGGAGCCGATGGAGATTGAACAACGGGCAAGTAGTGTCACGAGAAGAGTGTTTCCAACGCAACCTGTGCTTCTATTGTAAGAAGCCAGGGCATCAATTTGCGGAGTGCCTGATTACACCACGAACCCGATCAGTTTCGAGACCGCGCGCGCGTGAGTATGATCGAAGATGTTCAAGATACAGCGGAATCTTCTGACGAAGCCATTGTTTTTTGATCAATTTACGGTCAACACCTTTACAAAAGCATGAAGCCAACGTATCGGCCTCATTTGCTGGGAAAGACCGGATCCATTGATGGTGTACCAGTACTGATCTTGCTGGACTGTGGAGCATCAACAAATGTAATTCGACCCGGTCTGGCTACTAAGGCCCTCTCCGCTCGCAGCGCGGCCAATTAAAGTGGTTTGATGGAACGTTTACACTCACCGGCTGATCGAACGACGGTGGAAGCGACAGTACGCACCAATGAAGGCGAGTTTTCAAATATGATCTTCACGGGAAACCCATCTGGATGCCGAGCAGGATGTGATTTCTTTGGTCTTCCGTGGTTTCAAGAATATGCAACCGCAAATTAACTGAATATCGGGTCAACTGCTTCTTCCAAATCAGCCTCTACATCAGCGATATGGATAGCACTAGGCGGACCGAGCTGACCCCAGACAGCACGATTTCCAGATCAGGTGGTCAACTGCTACAGATCCATACGTGCGCAGGTCCGACTGACGCAGAGCTATTTGTCGTCAAGATCGCTTCTAATTTGCTGGACGACAATGTTCCGGATTGGCTGGGTGACTTTATACAGGAATATGCCGACATATTCCCAGCGAAGCTACCCGACGGACTACCACCGCCACGTGCGGTGCAGTTTGACGTAGAAATTAAACCAGATGCGATTCCAAGTTCCAGAGCGCCGTTTCGTCTATCAAAGACCGAGCAAGAAGCACTGAATCCCTTCAAGTTGCCGACAACCCAAAGAAAGGCTGGGTCGAAGTATCAAATTCTCCATGGGTTTCAACATATTCGGTATTCCTAAAAAAGACCATGTTACGGGCCAAGCTCCAACACGCGGTGAGTGGCTGCGATCGGGAAACAGCTTACAGCCGATTCGCTGGGTCATTGATTATCGTTACGTGAATAGCCAGACCAAAATCCCTAAAATACCTCTCCCTCACATCGAGGAACTATTTGACAGGATGGCAGGGTGCGCCGTGTTCACGGTTATTGACTTAGCACAAGGCTACCACCAGATGCTGGTTAACACTTCCAGTCGCCAGTACACAGCATTTCGGACGCACAAGGAGACATACCAGTGGTGTGTCGCGCCGATGGGATTGGCA